TTTCATGAATAACTGTTATCCATGATTAATAGCTTCATATGAAAGAACAACTTCTTATCCGAGCGCATGTGTCTAGTGGTCCCGTATCCATCCACCATTTCTTGGTATTTCCTACCAAGTTTACTTCAGATACTACGACAGAAAAACTCATTCTAGAAACATTTTCAGAAATTTTTTCTACCTAAGTTGTATTGACTTGGGTAGCTTTCTTCTTGTGGTTCTCTTGTACTTTATGGCTTCGGTAATCCTTAACATGATGCCCTGGTTTGTTGCACACAAAGTAGTTGTCTTAGAACATTTTTGGAATCACCACCCTTGGCCCCTTGTTGGCCAACATACTTCATTTTTTTGTTGGTTTTATGTCCCTCTTCAATAACATATGCCTTTGACTCCATGGAATGAGTACTAACTTTCTTTTTGGAAACTCTATTGTCCTCTTCAATACTTAATCGCACGATCAACTCCTTAAGTTTCATTTCTTTGCGTTTGTGATTCAAATAATTTTTGAAGTCCTTCCAATGTGGCGATAATTTTTCAACAATTGTAGTCACTTGAAAAGATTTACTGAGCACCATCCCTTCGACTTGAATCTCATGTAAAATCACTTGAAGATCTTGAACTTGACTAATGATAGTCCTTAAATTCACCATTTGTAGTCAATGAATCTGCCCATGACGAATTTCTTCATTCTGCATCCTCCTTCTTGTACTTTTTATCCAAAGATTCCCACAGCTCTCTAGCTGTCTTGATTGGACTATACATATTATATATGTATTATTCAATCCCTTAAGGATATAGTTCTTGCACAAAATCAGAATACTTTTTATGCATCCACCACAGCAACAACTTGATAGTCAGTCTCATTCTCACTAGAAACATGAGGATCCTCATAAAGAACTTTACAAGATTTAACGTAGTGAGATAGAACAACATTTTTTGTTGTCATCTCTTGAAATCATTCCCATTAAATTTTTCCACTTCTTTCCATGAGACACATGAGTAGGTATAGAAATAGGCACCACAAGAGGAGGAGGAGGAGGAGGAGGAGGAGGAGTAGTAGACATTATTCAAAATTCAACCTAGAGGGAAGGGAAAAATCTGAACCAGTAACGCATTCAAATTCCACGGAGACTAGAATTAAATTTCGGATTAAGAAATTCATGCTCAATTCAGTAAATGAATTTTTTCCAAAAGATAAGGATATAGTCACACCCACACCTGAGTCCGAGCCCGCTCGGGTCGAGTCGGGACTAGGCGAGGCAAGCAGGCGAGCGTGTGTGGTCGAAACCAATACATGTAGGCGCTCGCATCCGCTCATAAAAGTTGTTGTACCCCTTGGGGCCCACCTAGTGTAGCAAACTTGACATATATGTGCACAAGTAGAATTTATTCTTCAATTAATGTAGGATTGGAGTCAAATCCCTCATTGCACCACCTCTATTTTGACATTCCAAGAGGGTCACTTTGGAACATATTTTCTCATTCTTTTTTACTCGATTTGAGCAAGTGAATATACTATGTTATTCTCCTCACGGAGTAGAACACGAACCCACGAAATTTACTCGAAACGATAAGCGAGTCCCACTTTAATTTAGGCTCAAACTTGACCAAAAATCATATTTTAATTACCAAAATCTTCTTTAGTCCAACATGAAGAAATGGTAGTCCCAAGAGTGATAATTTGTCCCCACAACAATAAAAGAAGATATAGGCACCTCAAGCAGCGATGACAAACGATAGAGCCATGGAAAAATATTAATAAAAGATGAATCCCTAACTCATATATCTTCTCAAGATAGAACTTTAAAATCATGTCCAACTTTATACTGAGTCAAAGGAAGAAATGAAAGATAAAGTTATGAAATGAATTTCCAAGGACTCATATGGGTTATAGTATGTGCTGATTTATTATCTCACTCATTCCTTTAAAGGCCATGCTTACTTCTGATTACCTTATGTCAAAAGGAGTTAGATTCTAAACGAAAACTTCATAAACACTTACCTACCAAAGAAATGTTTTTAGACACCAAATTACCAAGTCTCAATCCCCCTTTTGTCTATAGGCTCACAAACTGTCTCCCAACACGCTAAAAGATCCTGCTTAACATTTTCCATCCCCGATCAAAGAAATTCTCTCAACATCTTTTCTAACTTCTTAGCGACTACAATAGGATTTCTAAACAGAGACAAATAGTATAAGAAGATGCTAGTCAAATAAGCTTTTATCAAAGTTATCCTTCCTCCAAGAGTAAAATATGCCCCATTCCAACCATCCAATGTTTTGCTTATTCTTTCTATCACTGGATCTCAGAAACACATTGTCCTTGGGTTCTCCCCCCCCCCCCCCTAATGGTAATCTTAAATAAAGTAAAGGCCACTCATTAACAGCACAACTTGCCTTTGAAGCAAAATCCTTAACAACATACTTGTCCAAATTAATGTATGTGACTCCACTTTTAAACATATTTACTCTCAAACTAGTAATTTTTTCAAAAATTTCAATCAGAGATAAAACATTCTGAAAACACTCCTTTTTGTTAGATAGAAAAAAGATAGTCATTAGCAAATTGTAAGTGTGACACAGGAACATCCTCACTACCTACTCTCAACCCTCTACCAATCCTACCTTTTCTACTCTACTAATCATCCTACTCAACAAATCTACCACTATAGTAAAAATAAAAGGAGATAGAGGATCCCCTTGCCTTAAGCCCTTTGAAGCATTAAACCACTCCTTAGGCTCACCATTCACCATCATAGAGAAAGTAGAAGAAGAGAAACAACCCCTTATCCACCTTTTTCACCTTTCTCCAAAGCCTTTCTTACCCATCACATCATCCACAAAATTCCAATTTTTCAATCATAAGCCTTCTCAAATTCCAGTTTAAACACCGCTCCCTTTTTCCTTCATCTCTTAACATTCACCACCACTTCATTTGCCACTAAAGCTGCATCTAAAATTTGTCTTCTCTAAACAAAAACACTCTGAGCTATGGCTACTGTATCTCCCAACATCTTACTAAGTCTTCTAGATAGCACTTTAGTGATAACCATCTACAAACTAGTCACTAAACTAATAGACCTAAAATCTTTAACTTTAATTGAGTGGTCTTTTTTGGGGACCAATGTAATGAAGGTAGAGTTAACACTTCATCCTATGATAACATTTGCAAAAAACTCATTGAAAACACACATAAGATCACCCTTAATAGTATTCCAACTATTTTGATAGAAAACCATAATAAAACCATTACGACTTGGAGTTTTTTCCTTATCCATAGCAAAAATAGCTTTTCTAACTTTCTCCTCCTCAAAAGGTCTCTCAATACAACTCGCCCTACCAAATATCCAGATATAGGACTCCAATCAATACCTTCAATAGTTGACCTAACAGGGTAATCCTCAGCATATAATCCTTTATAAAACTTTGTCATCTCCTTAGCAATCAATAGTAGATCTATTACAACATCCCCTAACTCAGTTTCTAATTCTCTAATGATAGTGCTAATCCTTCTACCAGTTGCCATTTTATGGAAAAACCTAGTATTACAGTCACCTTCTATAACCCATTTGATTCTCATCTTCTGCCTCCAGCTAGTCTACTCCCTCACCAACACTTCCTCTAATTCATTTCTCAAAATCACCTTTTTCCCAATTTGTTCATCTGTTAGTTTATCATTTTCTTCCAGACAATCTAAAACTTCAATATCCCTGAAAATCTCTAATTGCCTATATCCGACATCTCCAAAAATCTCTTTATTCCACACCTTCAAATTTTCTTTCAGCCACCTCAACTTCTTCATAAATTTGAACACTCCCACCTTTCCATCTCATAATTCGACCAACAATCCTTACACCTATCTATAAAAAATGATGAGTTAGCCACATATTCTCAAACCTAAAAGGAGTGGGCCCCAACTTAATTGGATTAGACTCAAGGACAATTCGAAAATGGCCAGATACCACTCTAAACATAACCAATAAATTGTGCATTAGATAAAGGAATATCCCTTATTCCACATTCACAAATAAAAGAATCAAAACTTCGCATACTAGAAGCCACACTAGCCCCTCGAACTTATCCCTAGAATTCCTAATGAAATTAAAATCCCCCCTAAACACCACTTAGGGCTACACAGATCAAATAAGTTATGTAACTCATCCCAAAAACAAAGATCTAGTACTAGGTCGACTTCGACTATACACAAAAGTAATCCATCATTCCCCTCTACTTTTAATATCAAGTAGAACCGACACAAAAAAAAGAGCTAGGAACACAATCTAGCCTGGTAGCAAATCTGGTATTCCATATCACAACAATACCCTTAGAGGATCTACATAAAGGTAAGAATCCATTCCTTAGGTCTAGACTCCCAAAATACTCCTAACCAAAGCCCCATCTACTGTCTCTAGCTTTGTCTCCTGACACATAAGTAAATCTGGCGAGGCTCTTAGAATCACCTCCTTAATTATTCTTCTCTTCCTCCAACTCCCCAACCCCCTCACATTCCAACTAATCAACTTCATGTAGAACCTCTATGACCCCCTTCCCTACTAATTTCTTGCCCTATTGGACTAATAAGCTTAAGGCCCATCTTCTCCAAAAGGTTTTGCGCCACTTGGTTGTTTCTCTCATTCCCTAGTAGGTCCACTATTACATGGTTCCCCTCATAACCTATCCCCTCTTAACATAAAGGTAATTGTGTTTATGTCATAGCCCTCTGAGGTGTAGGTAAAAGTCCTGAACCAGAACACCTGGTTCTCACAAGAGTCCCTGGATTTCCATTTTCATAAAAAATATTAGAAGGACAGGAGTCAGGTATAGAAGAAATTATTACCGAATCAGAGTGACAATCAATTGAAAATGAATGAGGAACACTACTCCCAAACCCTAGCCTTTGCGTAGTCCATGTCCCAACTTGATTTACACCCTAACTTATTATAGTCGGAGACACCATTAAGCATTTTCTTTCTTATTATTATTATTGGCACTTTCTGGTCTACCTTCATTATCCTCATTAAATATTCCTACATCTGCCACTTCCATCATCGGAGATTCTAGCATGAAGGAAACATTCTCAAATTCACATTGTTCCTCCATCAACAAATCAATATCAGAGTCCAAGAAATTATCAAAATCCTCATAGTTATAAGCAATTTCTACCTCTGTGAGCATTCCTTCAACTTGAATTTTTTCTTTTCCTTTGAAGCTATGGACATAATCTATATCCTGCTGCTCATTCCCATGACAAGAGGATGAAAATCATAGCAGCTCAACTTGGCTATTATCTTCTCTGGGTCCATGTATCACTGTCAAATCTTGGCCTTTGTTATGTTTCATCAGTGGTGAGCTCCAATCTTGTAAATTCAAAATCCTCATTACTTCCCTCTCCGATTGAACATAAATATAAAAAGTGAATTTATTGGTGGAACAATTTGCAGACCAACTGACATAATTTTAAAATTTTCATTTGCCTACTTTTTCATTCTCTGGTGGCTGTGAATTAAGAGCACCAAACATTCCAATCAAACATCTACACATATCCTCACATCTCAACTTACAAGATTTGGTGTCCACCTTAAACACCCCATTTTCATCCACATAAATAGAAGAAGGTACACTATAAACCTCGCATCGATTTTTGCAACTTCCAAATACGTTTTCTTCACAACACAGGTAAAAGATCATAATAGAGTAGATCTCTCACCCAAAACCCTTTACCACAGAACCCCAACCAGTTAACGACCACATTCCTCCAATCTAACTAAATCGACAATAATCCTTGTCCCATGGGATTGCCTTAAGATATAGTTATGAAACAACTTAATCAATATTCTGGTAGCCAATGGAACAGTTGTTATATCTCTCAAATAAATCAACCCGAATCAACATCATAGCTGAGGTTTGCAAAAACTGCTATTCCTCCGACTCTCTTCATCATAAGACACTAGACAAAATTGTTGCATCATTCATGGTTATGGTCAATGGGGATCACGGAGATGAGATTGAGCTTCAGTTGAGATGAGTGCGATGAAGAAGAAATGAAGAAGCAAATTAACAACAACCATTAATATCCCATGGTTGCATATATATACCTAATGCTATGGTGCAGATTTTAAGCTTTGCACCATAGCATTAGGTGGATATTTTTTATAAGGACCATTAGATTAGGATTCGACATTCCCTAATGAAAGAAGTCAAAAAAACCTACCAATTTGGGATATGAATGAAAATAGAAAATTTCAACAATCTATCAATTATTATTTCAACGATAAATGGAAACTGCATTTAGGCTTATATTCAATTGATGTCTCTTGACAAAGCCATCACCTCATCCTTGCCTAATTATTGGACACATAATTATTCTAGGAACATACATATGAGTTCGTAATGACAGCGTTGAGAAGCTTGCCTCACTAAGAAAAATATATTTGTAATCATTGAAATTGTTTACATCTGCAAACAACTAGGATGTGGATATTGTGATTGCATTGAATTATATCCCTAGAAGTTTAATTAAATGTCAGTCAAATTCTACTTTGATGTCCAAGAGAAATTACTTTTTTCGTCAAAGCGAAATTTCATTGCTATATCAAGTCATGTCTATGAGGTTCATGCCTATAGTTTTTTGAGTCTCTGATGTCTTTTATGGTGGCCAAACTATAAAAAAGTAGGCACCTGCAATTATTTTGAAGGTGCCCTCGGGTAACCAAAGCTGAAGTTGTAGGAATTCAAAGCTTTTTGATTTATTTGTTTCCTCCTCTTCTTCTTCAACGTCCATATCTTGACATTGCCAGCAATATTTTTCTTTTTATAATTTTTAAAGATTTAGTTTGATTACAATTGCAAATATAGTTTCCATACACTACTAGAATCATAATTAATAGGTTGTTGAACTCTCCTTTTTAGTTCACAACCCAACTTGGTAGGTTTTGAAATTAATTTATACCTTACTTCATTAAGGGACGTCAAATCAAGATTCAACGGTTCATATAAAAAGTATCCACCTAAGGCTATAGTGCAGAGCTTCTATGATCGCACTACTCTATATATATATATATATATATATATGTGAAAATTGGGGTTGAGTCCTCCTTAGAGAACTTATAATGAGTTTAATTCGTCAAGAAAACTTATTTGGAGATAAATCCGTTTTTAATGTTACTAATAATTAGTTAAGTCCATAATTTTTTTAAAAACTCCAAACTACCCTTTCTTGAAAGCCACTTTAAATTAGTTTCCTAACTTGGGAATTATTATCCCTTAATTCACTATCAATGAAGTTATGCCAATAAATTTTTTTACATAAATTTGAAATTCAAATTCAAAGAACAACTGATACTCTCTCTCTCTCTCTCTCTCTATATATATATATATATATATATATATACTATGTTATTGTTTTTGTAAAACATGTTACAGTTTTTATTTGTCATGTTACTGTTCATGTTTTCAAATATTAATACTCAATGTTATTTTTTTTAATATTATTATTTTTTTGTGTTTAAATGTTATTACTTTTTTTTATTTAAGTGGTACTATTTTTTGTGTTTGAATGGTATTTTTTGTGTGTTTAAATGTTACTATTTTTCTATATATGTATGTATGTATATGTGTGTGTGTGTGTATATATATATATAAGAGATATAGGAGTCTTAGAATTGTGGGAAAGAATGAAAGTCTTGTTCAAAAAAATTGGCGGGGGGAATTTGCAGTAAGACCGTCGGATCAATAATCTCCTTAAACGATTTGAATCGCGAAAAAGTTTAAGACAAATAATCTAACTACTTTATTATATATATATATATATATATATATATATATATATAATAATAGGAGTGTGTTTGAATTTTATCCCAATCATATTTTTTCTTTTCAAAACCATCATCAATCACTTACCTCACCTATCATTTCTTTGTCAGATTCAAACGTCAAATTACATCACTCATTTCTATCACATATTTAATCATTTATTTATTTTCTCCTTAAAAATATCACACCACTCATTTTTATCATATATTCAATTATTTAATATTTAATTAATTTATAGTTAATATATTTAAAAAAAATTTAATATAGTGGGATCGATTTTTTGGACGCTCGAATTTTATATTTTATCGTGTCTTCAGGTACGGGTTATGACTAGTATATATATATATATATATGAGAGAGAAAAATAAATAGTCATATTCTATACATGGATGGATATAGATAGATATGAGAAAGAGAAGATTTTAATATTAGTCAAACTTTTAAAGTTTAAGAGTTGTTAATTTTCAAATTTGTTTTAATTAAACATAACTACTAGGGGTATTTTGAACAATAGAGATCAAAATAGACTTAATATTAAACAAGTTTATTTTATGGACTTATCACCAATTAAGGTCACAAAGGGGGACCGGCCTCCAAATTTTCCTATAATATTATTGTAAGGAAGTTAAATTCTCAACTTATACAAGCACAATAATAAAGATTAATCCAATTTTTATCTATTTTGATCAAATAGTACAAAATTCATAGTATCAGGCAATTCAACCGACACTCCCTACTGTCAGATAATCTCATTAATCCACACCTACTCTCTTTTATTTTTTTTATATTATCTTTAATTTTAAATTGTGTAATTAAAGAAAAAGAAATGAAAAATAAATTAGTACTTAAAATTTAAATATTGCACATTCAATGTTCAATATTTTGTATTGTAAAGTATCTTCAAACATAGATTGTTGCAACTGTGTGTGTGTGTATATATATATATATACACGCTGATTAAAATGATATGCTAAAGTAATGGAGAATGAAGTTATGGAATTGAAAGCAAAATTGGAGATTACTTGCCAAGCAACCCGGTGACTTCTCGGTTGCAAAAGAAGCACCAAATGTTTCAGATGAGATCAAGAAGAAGAAGATGAAAACTGACTCTTTCTCTCTTTAATATTTATCCACAAAAACCTATCAACTTTTACTCACCCATCACTCTCTACTTTTATTTATATTTACTCATTTCTAATTGCTTACAAGACCGAGTAATTAAGAGATTAACTTCCACCCAATATTTCAAATCCGATATTATCTCTTAACATTGCCTCTTAGAATGTTTCCATAGTCTACTCAACTTTTCAGCATAATTGGAGAAAATCAATGAGATTGAAGCTGAATGAAAATAATAAGAAACAAAAAAATAGAAGATGGTAGTGAGTATATAGTTTGATGTCTTCCTTATGCTATTTAGGCTAATATCAAAAGCACAATAATTGCTACAATGAGAAAGAAATTAACCTATGGTTTCAAGGCAATATTCTACCGCACCCACTCGTAACATTGTATGACTAATGCAATCATCCAATGATTTCAGGGATCTAGGGAACAATGAATTCACTGGTGAATTGCCTCCAAGCTTTAAGGAACTGAAGAAATTGCGGAGTTTGTAAGTCAATGTTGATGTTGCAGTGTTGTTCTCACTTGCATTATGAAAACTTATTTTTTTAAGCTTCATTGACGCTTCCTCTTATGCTTTATGGTTTTTGGGATTTGTAGTGGTATTAGAGGGAACAACTTCGCGGGACCAATACCCAAATACATTGCCAACTGGGAAAATCTTGAACAACTGTAAGCATCTAATTTAATGATTGTTAAACTAGCAACATATACAGCAAGGGCAAGTCTAAATTTTTGATATCCACATGTGGACAACTAATCTCTATAGGGGGCTAATGGGGAACAATTTTGAAGGACCTCTTCCTACGGGTATTACATTATTAACAAACCTTACCTACCTGTAAGTTCTGGCACCTCGCAGAAGGCATATATATTCTTTGTTTCTTGATCTTCCTATATAATGTCTGTGTCACTTTATTCAGGACAGTTAATGGCTTAACTGCAAGCCCCAGAAGAGGAAAAAGCTTTACACTCCCAGATGTCACAAAGATGACCTCTTTGAAAAGCTTGTAAGCCTTCCAATGAGCATTTAAAGAATGTACTCACGTTAGTGCTATGGGTCATATGATTTTTTATAGTGTCATATGTTCTTACTGCTCCAGGACCCTAAGGAATTGTTTACTCACTGGTCCAATTCCGGATATTATCTGGCAGTTACCATCGCTATCATATTTGTAAGATAATTATCTCGTGTATGGATTTTCAGATATTTTTTTTCTATTGTAACTCCACAGCCTTTAAATTTTGTTGTTCCTCTGCTATACTTTCCTTTTTTTTTTTTCAGTTTTTTATATCTTTTTTCTTTTTGTTGGAGGGGCGCCCCGGGGGGTGGGGGGGGGGGGGGGGGGGAGGGTTGTGAGATTATAGATATTGAGTGCTGCCTTTTTAATTTATCACGATCTATCTATGTTCAGGGGAACCTATCTACATTTCACTCCTATATTGATCCCTCTCTACGCCCTTCCTCAAAAGCCCTTCTTCAATGAATGTTGGATGTTTCAAGTATAGGGCAGGCTTGTTGTGATATTATATGCTACTTCTTAAATGTTTCCATCCTTGAGTATGAGTCCTAATTAATACCTCAGTTGTCTCATTGCTACTTGTTTTTTACACAGGGACTTGAGTTTCAATAATTTGACAGGTGTAATTCCAAACGTTGTCAAACCGAAATTCTGGAATGCCATGTGAGAGATTTCACTTCCCAAAAGTCTCTTTCGGATTTAATTCTTTCAGACCTGAATATGTGTTTAGGTGTCTCATGGACACGAACACGATATCTTCTTGCGTTCTTCATAGGCAAGAATAATAAATTCACATTGTTCATTCATGTATCCAATATCAAGCTTGTCTTTTTTCATGCATTTGATGAATTCTTCGTATCAACACAAATTACTCCGCTTATATTTATATTTGTAATTTATCTGAAGATAGAAGATCAGATCCAAGATTTTACTCAAACGCTCAACTATAGAAATCTGTCATCCTACTAGTTAGAGTTCACTTCATAACTCTATTCATCCATTTAATTCCAAGGACTTTTTTTGCCGACTCTTTTCGTATCATCTTTATGTTTTTGTTTGCATAATGTTTGAAACTTGATACTTTTTAATACCCATCAATTGGTCCAGTCACTATGGTTGTGCTAAAGCTACATTTTTCATGCACGTCTTTATGTTGCTTCATTAAACTTACATATTCTTGTTTTACCACCTGTGTACAGTGCTTAATTGAGGCCTAATTGGCTTCATTTAACTTCAAATGTTGTATGAGTTTTAGATAAAATTTTGTTTCCGTCGAGTTTGCCAAATGTTCCCTTTGTATCATTTGCTAAGTAATAATAAGGAATCTCATGCTGCCATTCGCCTGTTTGACAGATTCCTCAAAGGAAATAATCTCACTGGATCACTCCCAGGATGGCTGACAAGTTTAAATTATTCGTATGTGTAAGTGTCAAAATATTAAAAACTGCATTTATTCTCATGATAAGTATTTGTGAAATGCCACTATATTCAATTATTTGTTTGCATCTCTCTTAATTGATGGATGCTTATGTCAACTAAGTCAGATTTTGGTGGGTGTGTTGTGTGCCTAGGTGTTAAATTGGTACGACCCCCATTCTTAGAGCAAAAACACACAGCTAAAGTTATCAGCTCAACCTTAATCCCAATTTTTCAAGATTGACCATATGGATACTTTTCTAGTCTTTTTTGTAGTTAGGTATTAGCTATAGTGTTTAGGCAAGCTTGTTCTTTCTCATAGTTTCGCCTATGTTATTTTTGGCCCCTTTATTTATTTTTCAACTTATTCAAACTTGGTAAACCAAAGGCCATATTACTTGATCTACATTGAACATGCACAAACCATCTTGGCGACCTCTCCCATGTCCTATCTTCAATCTGTACCTTGCCACACATTCTTCTTAGATTCTCTAATGACCTAGTTTCTCATTGTTCTAATACAGTTAACCAGCTCACGTTGTATTCCATTGCTTTCCTCTTTGTAATACAACTACAGAAGGCAAACACAAAAAACAAATGTGAGATAACATATATGTTTAAAGCCAAAGACAAATGATAAATCTCACAGCAAAGATGACAGTGAAAATATGATGAATCCATTCAAGCTTTTGCCCTTATCCAAGGCCCAATCATTGCCGCAGAGGATAGCAATAGCTGCAATACCATAATCAGTGTGTGGAACATGCATTCTGCTTGAAAAGCATACATTACGATGTGAATGCGAAGGCAACAGCTGAGCACGAATTTAGATATAACTCCAATCTCCAGAACATTAAAAAAAAAAAAAGACAAATTGGAGATAAGAACACAAAAAATTTGTTGGATATGTGCTAAAATGATTCTTGTAGATCTTGTCATTTCCAGTTAGAGTACTTTCTTCACACAATTCCGAGTTAGTCCGTGTTATTTTGAATTTTTTCCTTATTCGGCATCAGTTTAATTGTTTAAGGTTGGATACATGGTTCTCGCTTTTTCATGTTGATTTATTTTGTCATGTAACCTATCAACTTGAAGCTATCATGCCTTTCTTTTCTGCCTCTTTCTGTGTTCGTGTTCGGATTTAACACAATTTAAATTCACTAACAAACACACACAATCGAAGAACAAATCAAAAACATAAAGTAATAAGAAACAAGAAAGAAAGAACAAGACACAGATTTTACGTGGTTCGGCAATTTGCCTACGTCCACGAAGCTGCAGGAATTTCACTATTGAGAGAATTGAATATTGAGAGTGACTGTACAATCCACCATATATATAAAAACCCTAATCACCAAAACAACGGGTTTTATATGTCCTATGCATTGGGCTATATAACGGGCCCAAAAATTTTCCTCGGGGGCGTTGCCCCCAAACTCCCACAAGGCTTGTCCATGAGCGCTACGGCTTGGGCCTATCGGCCAAACCTTCGCTCCATGGACTAAGCCTCAGAAAATTTCTTATTAAAAACCACGCAACATTACTTCGGGTCGAGTCATCATCCGAATCACATATACAAACTAAACTCCACAAAAAAACCAACAGTTCGATTATATCTTTCTTTTTCCTTGGATTGCCTACGACATCCTCACCGACCATTTTTTTCAATTAGTCTCTATGTTCCTATTATTGTGTTACTTCTAGTTGCTTACAAAGTATGTTCCTCTTTATACTTTTATCTTATCATACATCCATCATAACAATTTCATTTGATGACCCTTATTTGGTGAACATGTAGTTATGTAGTTGCCTACTAGTGTATCCTAGGGGATCTGGAAAGTGTATTACTTCAACAAGTAGGCTATATCTTACAGTTCTATTATCTGTACACAACTTTGCAGGGATGTTTCGGAAAATTTTTTCACAAATGCAGCCATAACACCTGGCAATATATCTAAAAATTTGTAAGGAAAATGCAACTACGAGAATTTTTTTTCTTCTCAAAATATCGTTTCTAGTGTTGTATGATATAAATCCTCTATTTTCAGGAACTTGTTTTTATGCTGCTCTAATATGACCACCATGTAAGCAACATTTTTCTTAGTTCTTGATACTTGTTTCTTTTATTCAATTTTAATGACTATGAAGTTTCTATCTAAAGCCAGGTCCAATTACTATAATGTGCTTTGTTTTCATTCTTATATTTATCCTTACAGGCCTGCAAAGTGGCAAGAATGGCAAGAAGTTTATAACAAATGCAACAAAACACTAAGTATCCATATTCAATTCCTTTTTGGACTCCTACGCTTCTTGTACATATTTGTCTATGGTTCATAATGATGTTCCGTTACTGCTGCCATATTATGGTTCTAAATTTGGATTCATTTTTACACATGAGAAGGCTAACTCCAAACATGGCTTACTTAGAAGCACATCTTTCTTTCAATCAAGGGGAAAAATACTATTTGTGTTCCGCTAGCTACCTGCAAGAGTGGCATGGAGTTGTGGTGAGGGAAGGCATACACTTGATAAGAAATAATAATTAGAAGAAAGCCATGAATAGTACTAAGGAAGATATTGTGGATAACACTTGTGACAAGTCAATATCTCATGTGAATAGTGCTGTGAAAAAATAAGATTAACTACAGTTGATGGGATCACTACCTACAGGTTCAAGATTTTAGGAGAGTTGGATTATAAGCATAGATGTTGGGCTTTCATTGTTGGACTACTCCATCTCTCTAACTAGTATTGCACCCAATGGCTTATAATCCTAGGCGAAATTTCCAAGTGGCAGCATCTTGCCTTGCCCTTTATCATCCTACGTCTGTTTCAAGGTTCCTTCGTCAATTAAAAGAAATATTTAAGAAAAAAAGAAAATAGTAGTAATCATCAATAGAAAAAGTTCATACCCGAGTAGATTATTGGCAAAAAGATATTATTCATGGATAGCAGTTCATCGATCTCGAGATTGCTAATCTCAAAGGTGAATTTTTTATTTTGATCCATGCAATAAAACATCAATAATTCCATTTTATATAGGAAAGTATAGGTATGTTGAATAAAAATTTCAAATCAGTAACAAAAGTTATACCATGTTTGAGAATTTAGTACCATGTACATGATACAAAAATATCACCGCATGGGAGGTGGTGGAAGGATTATGGGATAAGATATATTATTAAGCATCCTTTTGGACGTCAATTACCAAGGATTTTGAAGATATTCATCTCTTTTGCATTCTAGTAGGGTGGAGTTTAGATGTTTCTAGTAAGGTTTTTTTTCGGTGTTTGATTTGAGTTATGGTTGAGCAACTTATCAAATGGTTCCATCATTTAGGAACATTCATTAAAAGCATTTTCAGTCATAATTTTATGTTAATGCCATAATTCTAGTTGGTGATCATGGCTGCAGAATTGGTCATTATGGTGGTGCAATTGAGCTTCTCGATTTCTATCCGTACCATAACATAATTCTCGAGTCTGGAAATTGTTTCCCTTCTATTTGGGGTTAAAGGGGTGGGAGGGGAACCTAGGAACTAGGGAAGAGGCCAATTTCTTGACATTGGAGCAATAACATTATTTTTTTGCTCTCCTAATATGCGAGGAAGTAGTTAGTGGCTTATATTGTATCCTTTTTTTCTTTGGTAAAATTTCATTGAAAAGATGACGACACTGGTACTATATTTTGCAGATGATCATTTATACATAAATTGTGGTGGTGAGCAAGTATCAATCAATGATAATAATTATGAAGCAGATTTGCAACCAGATGGGGGATCAACATTTTTTCTAAGTGGCAATAAAAGTTGGGCTTATAGTAGTATGGGAATATTCTCGGGAGCAGACCGCAACAACTACATAGTACAAAAAACATGCAATATCTCCATGGTTGATGCACCTTTATATAAGACAGCACGCGTTTCTCCAATATCCTTGAAGTACTATGGATTTTGTCTGAAAAATAACGTATACATAGTGAAACTTCACTTTGCTGAAATAGCATGGGAAGTAATGAAAAATACGTCCAGCAAGTGGAAGCGAGCCTTTGATGTGGAAATACAGGTAAGCTATCCGTCTATACAGTTATGTAAGGACCAAAATTTTGTTTTGGTGCATTTTTTCTGTCACCTAAGAAATGAAAATATTTCGGAAACGTTTTGCAAAATTTAAAATAGGAATTTGATAATCAATCATTGTGTCGGTCTCCATAAAAATGGAAACGCTTAAGCCATTTTAACTGTTTCGAAACAAAATTTTGATCCTTTAGTCATGGTCCTGACTTGGCATATTGCATTTATACCAAAAATACTCACTGTAGGGTGAGAAGAAATTGAGCAATTTCAATATAGAAGCAGAAGCAGAGGGTTTGAATAAGGATAAAACCATGGAGTATAATGTTTCTGTGAATGACAACCGACTGGAGATTCACTTATATTGGACTGGCAAAGGCTCAATAAGTGACACAATAAAATATTATGGTCCACTTATATCTGCTATATCCGTTTCCCCTGGTATGATCTATCTGTTCAGTGTTTTCTTTCATTTCTTTCTGCTGCCTTGTGGTGGTAATGTCCTCTATAGGACTGATAACTCTCTGGAATCTTATTGAAACAGTTCCAAGAAACAAAGCTTCTAGCAGGCTATCTGTTGTGCATATTGTTGGGATTGTAGGATCTTTTTTGCTCTTCTTTATATTCATTTTAGGTGTTTTATGGAAGTTGGGCTGCTTTGGTGTCAAAAAATTGCATGATGAAGGTAAGAAAAACAAAGTTCGATCACCACAACATCGATAAGCATTTTGACCATTCATGCATGATAACATCTTTCTTGACTGTTTTTCAATTTGATTGCTAATGCATTGAAACAGAACTTAGCAGAATAGAGTTGTTTCCTGGAGGGGTTTTCAATTTCCGTCAAATAAAAGCTGCCACACAGAATTTTAGCACTGCTAACAAGCTAGGTGAAGGAGGTTTTGGAACTGTCTATAAGGTCCATATTTTCTCAATTCTTGCTCTGGAATTCAAAATCCAGCATTCATTTCTTTTTAGATTATGTCAAATGTTCCTTCCAATTGTGTGGAGTTGGCAAACCTTTCTCCAACATAAGCCCAATAAACTTCTAATTGCCTGTTCGTCTTTTAATTAGAAATTTTGCACATCAATATGCAGGGCATACTTCCCAAGGGACCTATCATAGCAGTTAAACAACTTTCAACAAGATCAAAGCAAGGAATCCGCGAGTTTGTTAATGAAATTAGTACTATTTCAGCTCTGCAACATCCACATCTAGTGAGACTAATGGGATGTTGTGCAGAAGACAACCAACTCCTACTTGTCTACGAGTACATGGAAAATAATTCCCTTGCACATGCATTATTTGGTATCAGACAAGTTTGTTTATACAACTCTTTTAAACTTAAAATTTTCTGATATTAGTATGTAACATTGTGGAAGTTGGGTAATTTACAGGTGCAGAGGAACTCAAATTAGAACTAAATTGGCCAACTAGGGTCAAAATTTGCCTAGGTATAGCAAAAGGTCTGGCTTTTCTCCATGAAGAATCAAAATTGAAAATTGTCCATAGAGATATTAAGCCAACAAACATTCTGCTAGACGAGCATTTCAATGCAAAGATATCTGATTTTGGATTTGCTAAGCTTTATGAAGAGGAAAAGACACACGTCATCACCCGAATAGCTGGAACAACGTAAGGAACCTATGCCTGTCACACTCTCTTATAATAAATACTTGTACATTTGATGAGAAATAACTTGTTAATTTAGAAACCCTCTCTCTTTCAAGGTAAATGCATGACTGTCCTTATGGTGGAGGCCTTTTGCAGGGGATATATGGCACCTGAGTATGCCATGCGAGGTTACTTAACAGATAAAGCAGATGTTTATAGCTTTGGAGTTGTGACTCTCGAAATTATCAGTGGGAAGAACAATGCCACCTCTAGGCCAAATGATCAGAGTGTCTACCTTCTAGATTTGGTGAGCCAAATGCAAATCCACACTCTATTAACTTTGTTTGTGAGTGTTTATATGCTCGTGTGTCCATGCTTGAAAAAGAAAATCATCATGACGAAAAAAAAATTTGTTGATGCATTGTCTATATATAAAAAGCCTTCTCACTAGATTACTAGATGCAATGAAAATTTGCAGGCTTATGTTTTACAACAGCAGGGAAATCTTATACAACTAGTAGATCAAGCCCTCGGATCTGACTTCTCTCGGAAAGACGCGATCACAATTTTAGATTTAGCAATGATGTGCACTAACCCATCCCCTACACTCAGGCCAACCATGTCTGAAGTTGTAAAAATCATGGAAGGAAAGACTAAGATAATTTCCTCTAGAATCAGTGCCCCTTACCCAATGGATGAATTTACAACTGCCAAGGCCATAGCTGCTCTTTCTCAATCCTCTCAATCCGGGAGCACATCACAAGAAGGGGCATCAAACACTACATTATCTCATTCTGCTAGCAAAGAGATTGAAGAATCTACTTTATCTGCTGATTATGCAGCTGAGATGATCAATGGACAACGGGGGATATCAGCAACGGAGACATCTTAGCTTCGGGATAATGGTTATTGATACAGAAACCACTTGTAAGACTTTCACTTAAAAGGCCAGGTGTGTCCCATGTTTCATGATCCTGCATATCTTGCTTTGTGCAGCTGCATATCGAAAAAACAATGTTGCTTGTATATTGGATACTACTACAAATTAAGCATAGTTAATGAAGCAAGACAAGAATAACTGTCATTTATCATTTCATGTTATCCTTTTTAGCCATTACACTAATAAATTCTTGGTCATCCACCTGTCACTGTGCTCTTGATTTCAATTGCACCAAGGTCATGATTCTTAATGGAAAGAGGAAAAATGCATATTTCGGCTTCCTTAAGTAGGACAAAAACTTAAAAAATAGCTAAACAAGCAATCTATTTATGGACCATCAAAGCATAATTCTCGCTCCTCAGTATGAAGAACCAAGAATAATCGGGTAGATATCTTGGGTGGTGGTGATGAAGGGATAAGGATCTCAGTTTCACCGGAGTTCTGGTGTTCCATCACTTCATACTTGTCTCTGAGGGCTTTGAACTTCAATTCATCGTCATAAATACTTGGATCCATGTTTAGTTCCTGAACAGTAACCTGACCTTCAAGCATGCTAAATACGGCAGACATGTTAGGCCTAAGTGTCGGCGACGGATTAGCGCATAATAGAATTGTTTTAATCATTCTCATTGCCTCTTCCTTGTTGAAGTTAGAACCCAACCTTGGATCTATTAGCTCCATCAAACTTCCTTTACGTTGCAAAACAAGTGCCTGAAACAAGCATAAAAGCTAATGACAGTTATCAGGTATTCGACTTGCGGTAAAACATGAGTATTTATTTAACACTCCCTTCACGAATGACACTCTTGGGTGATCCGTCCACGTGGTTCTATTGTGTACTAAGGGAGCTGTTGTTGGTGTAGTTTGAACGCAAGATTCCTAGAATGTGATACCAAGTTAGTCTCCCAACAACCCTAAAAGCTTAAACTGATAGAAAGGGGTGCAACAAAAGTACTCATTCATACTTGAATGTGTGTCATGTCTACTATAAAACTAACAGTTTGGATTCGCATTGAGGGATGCATAGTAAAGAATTTGTTTTGATTTCGTTTTCTTTTTAAACTGCAAACATGACTAATTTTAGTTTTTCAAATATAAGAAGTCCCTTGCTCAAGACACTTAAAGAACATTAGTAATTGTTTTTTCTTATGTTAGTGAAGACAAAATACTGATGCCCCAGATAGACTGGCTGAGAAGTTCAACTTCTAATGCACCCAAGCACAGTAGTCCATGCTGAATAGTTCAAAATAAGGAAGACATTTCAGGGACGATTTCTATTTGCCATAATGCTAGGGTTGGAAATGTATTTCTTTTTCTTTTAGGTTCATTATAAATCTTTTACGGTTATGGTCAAGTTTTGCTGTCTAGCATTAAGATTGTCAATGAGATCTATTTTTTATCTAGGAGTCTAGGAACTTTTGATATCTTTTGTGGTAGGTCTCTAGAGAATGCAACTGCATTGTATGGAAAAATAATGCTTATATGGCAGCTACTTGTAATGCCTATTGATATATGATTGATATAGTAAAAAAATAAAAAAAAATGATAACTTGTGATTTAACAAAGAATATGACATTTGGTAGAGCACAATATGACGCAACAAGATTCATGTAGTCGATCCCAAATAAGTGAGTTAAGGCTTTGTTGAGTTGAGTCATAAATCTTGTATGAGCGCTAGTGATAATATCGATAAACAGGAACTCATAAACACATAAACTATACACCAATGGGTAGGGAAGAACAGAAAGAAAACCAAAAACTATACACCAATGGGTAGGGAAGAACAGCAACAAGACATGCAAAGAATTAAATTTTCTTACCCAGTCAAGTAGACAAACATAATTCCCATCAGGACGATATTTCATGTTGTTCATTCCAGCAACAATTTCCAATGCAACAACCCCAAAACTATACACATCTGCTTTGTAGGTCAAGTAACCCCAAAGTAAGTACTCTGGTGCCATGTATCCTCTGCCAAAAATGGAAATACTCAGTAATTTACTAGTATTATTTATTACTTCAAATAACTTTTATGAACTCTTGCGTACAAGAATTGCCAACATAGACGATAATTCGAGCACAATAGGCTAACTAATTTTTATTGTTGATGAGCAGTTTCATTTTAATTCAAGAAACAAGGTTAGAACAATATGATGAGATGTCCAGTGTTACCTTGCGCTTGTTCTTGAAATGAAATAGGTTTTTTCAGCTAAGAAAACTTCTTCTTGAGAATAATTTTTATTTTTGTCAGATTTTTTACTTGAACTATACAAGGAGAAGCAATGATAAAATCTTTTAACCAAACAAAGCATTGAGATATATATTTCAAGAAGAACATGCTAGTGGTAGAATACTCTTAAGACAAAGACAAAACGGAAAACTCACAAAGTTCCGGAGACTCTAGTGCTGATGTGGATGTTCTCCTCTTCATCGAGTTTCGCTAGACCAAAGTCAGAGATCTTTGGGTTGAGGTCTATATCAAGTAGAACATTGGTAGCCTTAATGTCTCTATGAACAATTTTCAGTGTTGATTCCTCGTGCAGGAAAGCCAGTCCCCTAGCTATGCCAATACAAATTCTTTGCCTTGTACGCCATTCTAGTTCAAGTTGCAACTGCTCTGGACCTTCAGTTTACATTGATAGCCTTTAGAGAAAAAATCTACCAACTTTCAAAACAAGTGAAGAAAAAAGATTAACAATGCCGATTATCAGTGAATGTAGTCTTGCAATTTAATTACCATACTTCATATAATCAACATAATGTACATGATGTAGAAAAAATACCAACTTACCAAACAAAGCACGGGCAACGCTGTTGTTCTCCATGCTTTCATATACTAATAGTAATTGATTTCCTTCAATACAACATCCATACAATCTCACAAGACTTGGGTGCTCTAAACCAGAAATCATGCCTATTTCATTTACAAACTCGCGATTTCCTTGCCTTAGATTTCGAAGAAAATTGTTTAACAGCAATTACAATACCGTCTAACAATACACCGTGTAACAGAAAAAACCGTAGTTTTAAATGGCCGCATGTGCCTAACATCCATCCCCATGTGCTTTAACCACACATGAAATTACAAACAAAAGTAGACTTTTTGATTTGGGTTGTAAATTAACTTTGCTGAACTCACTCCAACTTAACCAAGGTCTAGTGTAAAGTTATCTGACCACATTGGTCATTGTGTATGATCTAGACTTTTTGATTGTGTTTGTATTGCATTTAATGACTGATAGTTGCTGAAGTTAGAGTTCAAAAAAATACGAGAAAACTGCTGAAGTGTCAAAAGATCATTGGTTGCCCGTATTTATTTGGCTTAGAGGACAACTGTGAATAATTTAATCCCTTAATAGTTATACCGTTATGTTTTGAAGTGTCTGCATATAATAGTTATACCGTTATATTTTTCTTTTTTTCTTTTTTTTTTTATTTGTAAAAAACAATTTTATGTTTGCCTTATTTTTATTTCTTACACATTTTTTCGCTCGTTTCTATTACATCATTTATTTCTATAACAAGTTAAATTATTTGTGGCACTATTCATGTACCATAATTTACTAATATTAATATTTTTTTAAGGTAACATTTTGAGAAAATTTGTCGAGTGTTTTATAAAATAATGAGTAAAAATTAATTTCAATGAAAAATGATATCAAAATTTTGGACATTTAAAGATTTACTAATATGTTACGAAATATGTTAGTCCTCTCATTTGTTTTATGTTTATACATCGAACTAAATTTATAACTTGTAATCTTCTTCTTTGTTTTATGTTTATATGTTAGAATTGAAAAATTAGGGTTTGTAGCCCTCTTTTGTGGTTTATTTTTTAAATGTTGAATTGAAATTAGCGCTTGTAGCTCTCTGTTGTATTTTATTTGTTACATGTTGAATTGAAAATATAAAATTGGGACTTGTAATCATCTCTTATGTTTTATTTTTTATGTATTGAATTGAAACTAGGATTTGTAGTCTTGTATTTATTTCTCTATGTTGAAATAAAATTGGGGCTTGTAGTCCTCTTCTATGATTTATTTTTTTATATATTTAATTGATATTTGGGTTTGTAGTCCTCTCTAGTATTTTATTTTTATATGTTGAATTGGAATTAGGACTTGTAGTCGTCTCATTTATTTTATTTTTATTTGTAGAATTGGAATTAGAATTTGTAATCCTCCATTATAATTAGACTAAATTATTTTGATTTGGTAGTTTGAACAGTTTTATTGTGATAAGTTAAGTACTTCATATACCTAGGTTTAGTTTACTAAAATAATTATAGTTTAAGTTAGTTTCGATTGTTTGTTAAAATTTAATGATGAATATTAAGTTTGTGATTGAACAAATTAATTTTTGAATTAGTTATGAAAATTTTTCTTAAAATTTAATATATGATTGAGCCGAATTTTGCGGTTCAAAAAATTTTTGTTAGGTCTTATAGATAAATCTATAATAAGTTTTTTTTGTAGGCTCATTTTGTATATCGCTTATGTATATGAATTACATCTTTAATTGGTGTTCTATTAATAAAATTATATTTTTGTGAATATTTTAAATTTTAATATTAATATAGTTTAAGTTGCCCACTGAAGAATATGTCTGACTCCGCCCTGCTTGGTTCCGCGGACAGGAGTAGTAATCAACAACTCCAAAAAGCTGGTGGGATCAGGTCATACGGTGAACTTTTGGTGTGACAATTGGCTTGGATCAGGTCCATTAATATTAAGGAACACTAGACAGCCTAGTCATTTTCCAATGTTATCAGACTTATTAATAAATGGTAGTTGGTGCTTGCAAGGAGTCTCTCAATGCCTAGATGGTAATCCACTGCAGGAAATTGTTTCTTCTTCTGTTTTGTTATCTAATAAAGAGGATAAGTTGATCTGGCAACTTACTCCTACTGGGTCCTTTTCTTTAAAAACGGCTTGGAGTCTATTTCGCACTTCTAGGCCAGTTCAGATGCCTTTTTATAATCTATGGAAGTAAATTTCTCCTCCCAGTGCCATGTTGCATGGATGGAAGCTATGGAAGGACATTCTTCCTATGGATTCTACTTTTCAGAAGAGGGTGTGGCTTTAGCTAGTAGGTGTGTGTTGTGTGAAAAGGATGCAGAGTCACTAAATCATGTGTTTATTAGCTGCTCTTATGCCAGAGAAGTGTGGGGCTATGCTTCCAGATTTTTTGGTTTTCACTTGATTGAGAATGAAAGTCCTATTACAAGATTTTTGAAACTCATAAGAATATTCAATCTCTCTTCGATTAGTCATGTGTTGACTAGGGGTATTCCTCTTCTGGTTTTCTGGCAATTATGGAGGGAAAGATGTAGGAGAATCTTTGAAAATCACAAACTCCGCTCTCATATCTTATTTAAAACTGTTTTACAGTTTTGCCGCATGCAAGTATATAATGTCAAACAAAAATCCATGGACTCAAAATCAGGGAAAGGAATTCTTCTTTCCCTAAATCTCAATCTAGTTTCTCAGGCTACCATTAAAGTGAAATGTGTTTCATGGCTTTATCCACCAAAAGGTAGATTGAAATTGAACATTGATGGTGCTTCTAAAGGAAATCCAGGTGAATCTGGGGGTGGAGTGATCATACGTAATTATTGGGGTCAGTTCGTTCTTGCAGGCTCTTATACCTATGGTAGATGCACAAATATGGAAGCAGAGATGCGTGCTTTACTGGATGGCCTTTCTCTAATCTATGATTATGGCTTGGAAGTTTATGACTGGGAAATTGAGACAGATTCTCAGGTCGTATTGGACATGATTACCAAAAAATTTAACCCATCATGGCGCTTATGGGCTCTTACAGATCAAATTTTTCCTCTTTTACAGTCTATGGATTGTCGAATACAACATGTGTATAGGGAAGGGAATTCGGTGGCAGATGCTTTGGCTAACCAAGGGGTTATGGATCAGTGTACTTATTTATACTTGAATCAGGGTGAGCTGCCTATCTCTATCAGACTTTTCCTGCAACATGATCAGCGTGGGATCAGGGCAATTTGTAAGAGGTTCTCTGCCTCTTCCTAGATTATCTTAACAATTTATAGGAACATCTACAAAGTATGCAGATGGTGCAGATCAGAGTTCACCAAAAAACAAAGTCCAAATTACTAATTCATCCCTCAACATGAGGGACATTTCTTCCAAAAGCAAAGAAACTAAACTAAGAAAGTGTATAGCAGGCACCTGTTCATTTTCTCTTCTTCGGCTGAATCAATACCTCTAGTATTCTTGGGATAGCATTTGGGATCTGACCTTGTTTCATTCTGCTCTGCTTCTACGGTTGGAACTCTACAAGGATGGCCTTGGTCTCTGGAATTTCTGGATTAATCACAGGAGCCTTCTGCTATTCTGTGGGTATGAGGAGGAGATTTTCTATTCTGTGGTTGTGAGGATGTGCACTATCTTATTCTGTGGTTCTAGCTGGACTCTCATCTTCTTTGCTCCTCTGAGGATCTTCTTGACGTTGTTGGATATTCGTCTTCTCCTATGGACTCATAATCTGGATGGTTACGAGAATGGGGATCATTATTTTGATCCTCATTTTTGGCATGTTCATCTCTTTGTCTGTTCTTCGTCAGTTGGACAAGAAGGCCCTCAGGCAGAGTTTTTCTATTCATCTACTTTATCAGAAAGGCGGATGAACCTTTCCTTTCAACTGCCTTATCTGATGGCTCTTAACCTGCCTTATCTGATGGCCATTCATCTGCCTTTAGCTTGTATTTAATGCAGACTCAGTTTCATTACTCCCTTAGCTTCTTCTTCCCAGCTCAGAGACTCCCCCAGCTCAATGGCAGGCGCAGCCTCTTAGCTCATTCAAGGTCTACGTTCTTCAGCAATGGGTAATAATTTGGATGATGCAGCTGACCACTTTTAGCTGAATTTATGCTGCAGCTGGACTGTTCACGTCACTATTCACGTGACTGTTCAGCTCAGCATTTTTTTCAGCAGTGGGTTTCAGCTTTTAGGAAATTATGATTTCTAGAATAGTATTTCAATGTATTATCATGCATTACAATTTTTTAATTCCTTATTGCATTGTAATTAAATTACATTGAGGAGGGATAAGGTACATTAGTCCTCCCCTAACTAGGTGTAATTTGATTTTTAATCATTAAAATCTCCCTCACACCGTCGAGGTTCCACCAAAAAAAAATAATAATAATAAATCAACGAGCCTTTGATTCAATGGTACTCCTTACATTGTGAAGACTTTGTCTTCTTGAGATCAAGGGTTCACGTCCCCCTCCCCCACCCTGCCCAAAAAAAAAATTAAAAAAATCTCACTAATTAGTAGTTTGTCCAATTATTCATGTGTCAAATAATTAATTCTTATTTTAATTAATTATTCATTTATTCAATAATTAGATTTATTGAATACCTAATCTCTTTGAGTACCTAATCTGTCATTTTTTAGATATCTCCCCGGCCCTTTAATGGACATTCTTGAGAATTTGCATATCTAATTATATTAATAGATTTATTACATTTTTTTCAATGAGATTGATGAATTTGTGATACTATTTTTTGAATTATAATATTATGATATTATTGCACACCAAAAATTAAATCTGACATATATATTTGACCGTATAATCCAATCTGACAACTACATGTATATAATAATATAATATAGATTGAATTTTACTTCATATATATAGATATAGCTATTGAAAATTGTATGTAAGTGTACAATTAATAAAGGAGTCCACAAAAATGTAGAAGACAAATACTATTGATATAACAGTCCAAAAAAACTTGAAAGTCAAATATGTATAGAAAATAAAAATTAGATAAAAGTAAATTTTGGGCATAATTGACTTTATACTAATAATTAAGGACAAAACAAAAAAATATAATTTTTCATAGATGCTAACCTAGAAAGCATGGATATTTCCCAGAGATGTGTCATGACAGTGTCGGACACGTGTATGTCATAGACACGTATTAGAAACGGCTAGAAGTGTCCTGAATAGTGAACCCAGTCAAACACAACCAGGATAGGTCTAGGACACGGTCAGAATACTTCTAGCACGCGTTCAGAATACATTTAGGACACGATCAGGATATGTCTAAAACACAGTGATAAATTTTTTAAAAAATTTGGACACATCCAGACCATGACTTGGGAATTGAGATTTGGGCTTGTGGATTTGAGAGTTGATAATTTTTGAGTATGGATTTGAGATTAATTTTTTAATCTCAATTTTGGTTCAAGCTTGGCTCATGTGCGTGTCAAGCAAAAATTGAACAAAAACTTGGACTCGTTGTCCAAGTCGAGCCTAAGCAGCCCTTCAACTTGTTGCATACCAATGCTCGGAAGGCTCGGCTTGATTAAGACCCTTACCAATAGTCCCGTCCCCTCCCCACAACACCTCGTTACGGATCCCTCTCTCTCTCACTCTCACACACACAAACATAAGCTTCCCATAACCATGCTTGTAGTGGTGATAGTGAATAATTTCTGAAAATTGCAGTTTGTCTGACGATTGAACTATAAAAGGTTGTGACAATGGTGGTTGGTGAATGATTTGTGGAAGGTTTCAATGATAGTGAAGGTGGTTGTGTTGATGTGTGGCGTAGGAGGCACAGGTCATGGTGGTTACTAAATTCCATACCAAAATTATGAAACAAATTAAGTCTAGATGGATTCTTAAGTGGTAAATAATTAAAGTATATAATTAGTAGATATATCCTAAAAACTAAAACTAGATTTGTTTATTTAGGTTAATCATTGAAATTTAGATTAGGTTTTCAGATAAGTTGTTTATAGTATTATAATTAACATATTTAATTTGGTGACGAATTTTTCAAATTACAATGAATGTGGTGTTAATTACTAAGATTATTTAATTATCAAATTATTAATAAGGGGCATAATTGTCTCTTCAAATGAAAGTTTGGGGTAGTATTGTCCTATAAATCTTAGTCATTTTTTTTTAATTTTGAAAATAGAACGCACTGCTGAACTATGGACTCAATTTTACATTGCCCCTTGAACTATTGAAGTTTCTACATTGTATCCTCAACTACTTGAATTATTTCACATTGTCCCAAATGCAAACGGTCATCTAGTCTCTTGGATGGAAATTGTCAACGTGTCTAGGGAAAGTGAAAAAAATAACATAGTTTGAGAGGCAGAGTGAAATGATTTTCCGTTAAATTTGTAACAGACGTTAATAATTAGGGTGATGTGAAACTGATCACATAGTTAGGGGTATAATGTGAAAACATCGTAGTTCAAGGGGCAATGTGAAAAAAGGGTCATAGTTGAGGGGGTGAAAATATAATGTTTCCTTGCAGATATTTAAGTTTTTTTGACTGACTTCATGGTTTATCGTTATCTTACTAAGTCCGTCAACTGAGGGGGAACTTTTTTTTTTTTTTTTGGCTAAATAGAAAAGGGGTAGGAGCAAGACTGAGGGGGACTTCTATTACAACTTTTCAATGTCCAAAAATCTCCATGCATTTTTTAGCTGTCGAGGGATGTTCGTGTACTACAACACCCCTTATGGGTTCATGTGATTTTTACCCTAAAAAGAAATGTCATCTTGAATGAAGAATTTGTTTGATAGTTTCAAAAATGTCTTCTAATAAAATTATTGGATGCAATAAAACATTGCAGCCGGAGTTACGTTTTTTGCATCAAGTTCATTCATGCGTTTTGTGTTGATTGTGTGTAAAGTAATGGATGAGTGATGTTGGCATTTTCATTGATTCTGGTTATAGTAATGAAAGTGGGATGTTAATGTAACGTTGTTTTTTGTCTTTTATATTTTATATAATCTAGCCAATTTGGTGTGATTGAATGGAAGGGTTCTAGTTTTCTCCTTTCTATGTATATCTCTTTCAGTTTCTGGAGTAAGCCATTATAGCCCTCTTGTCTCTAACAGGCTATTTGCATGAAACCACTTGTCATTAAAGGCCTCATGTGCCTCCTAATGGCTGCCATGTTTAGGGCATATGTTTAATGAAAAACATTGTTTCTTGTATACTTATGATGTTAAGTTTATACTAAAGTTATGCAACTTTTGATTCCATGTTCCATGTCTTTGGAGGTGGTTTGGTTGTCATTCACGGTAATTGTGAATTAGCATCTTATGTATCTTGTTGGACTTCTATTGTACAATGTTGTTTTGTTTTGAGTTGGATGTTCAAACCTTCTTAGGCTCATACGTCCTTGTGTCAAACATGTCCAGGTCCAAGTAGTGTGGGAATCTGAAGGTGGTTCTCACCATGCCAGCACTGTCCCATCCTGCCTGATCAGGGTGCACTCCTAGTGCACAGATTATGTAGCCTTCACAACAGGATGTCAGTATCTTAGTTACAAATTGTAATGTGCCGAATCCCATTGTACAATGTTGTCCTCTTTAGCTTAAATCTGCATGCCTTTAAGACTCGTCACAATTACCACTTATAAAGCATTGTGCTCGCATGTAACACTGTCACCAAATAGAAAAGCCTGAAATAGTTTGGAAACATCTTCCCAATCCACCCCCTTGAATGTTTTTTTTTTTTTTTCGGAAAGTAAAATCTATTGCATAAGGTGAGAAAAATACAAAGGTGTATAGACAATGACAAAACAATAAGAACAACCTATTAACAGCCACAAAAAAAAAAAACCCAGGAAAGGAGGAATTCAAATGTAAGTGAAGTTAGTGACCACTTCCAGACAAATTCCACCCATAAAACAGAGCAAAAGAGATCCTCTGGAATAGGGGATTAGATGAGACAACTATGTGGAAGGGTCCACTTCTGAATAGTTTGGAGATTGCTACTAGAGGTATTGAATTTGAGAGAAGGCGGTCTACTCCACACAGTCCGTAGAATAAGATGGGTAACAGAGTTTCAGTCCCTAAAAAGGTTTCTGAATCTTCTATTATTTCTCTCTATCCACAGGTGATAAACAGTGGCATCCAAGTAGTTTTGCAAATCAATTTCTTCATCAAATTACCCATCCAATTAGTAGCAGCCCATTTGACAAAATCATCCCAAGGTTTAGGCTACCAAATTTCCCTATGAATGAGAGGATAGCAGACCAAACTCTAGAGGAGAAAGGACACCCAAAAAACAAATAAGGATGTGTTTCAGAAGAAGTCCTGCATAAAATACATCCTGATCCCAAGTGAGCAACATAAGATTGCACATGATCAAGGGTGCTAAGCCTATTTCTAACTGCCAGCCATAGGATTAAACACATTTTAAGGATAGATCTCCCAGACCAGACTAGCTTATACCAGAAAACAGAAGGTCCCTTTTGTCTGATTTGTTCCCAAGCAGATTTGGCGTTGAATCCCATTCTGCTATTAGGAATCCACTTGAGAGTATCCTCATTAGCAGGGTTGGGGAGATAGGTAGGCATGGAGATGACCACAATATGGATGGTATTGGAATTTGGAGGCCATTGCCATTGGCCGTTGTTAATAATTCTGCTAACAAACTCCTCCTTATTGAGATGCAGTTCATCTATTCCATTCACACTAACAAATGAATCTAGAGGTCCCATAGGATGCCAGTTATCATACCAAAGCTTTGTAGATTGTGTATTTCCAATCACATGCTTAATGAGTGGCCTAATTAAGTATCTTAATTTAAGAAAACTCTGCCAGTTCCAAGAGCATGATTGAGAAGCTTTTAGTCTCCAGAAGCTTCAGCCCCTTAAGTGATAAATATGAATCCATTTCACCCACAAATTTTGCTTATCTGTAAAAAACAACCAAATGTACC